AAGACGTGCAGATGGCTAGGAGGTGGGGAGGGAAGTTAAGAAAGCTCCCTATAGTCACTTCTCCCATGAAGCTCTGTGCCCCATCTTTGGAATCCAAGGGAAGGTACAGTTTGGCCTCTCCCTTTTTGGAATGGGCAGATATTGAACAGAACCTCCCCAGCTCCGTGCCTCCCACACCAAGTCCAAAGTCGGCCCGTCTGGGGCTTGTTACCTAACATTTGGGATATCAGCCAGCAGGTCTGGTGTGCATGGGTGTGTGGGATCAGCGGGAGGACTAACCCCCCACCAGTCCCCATCTCCCCCCCTCGCCCACCTCCTCAAGGCCTCTTGGTTTCAGATTGACAGACAGCTGATTTGCTTTGACCTCTCATCCCTCTGATGTCTTGGGGCGCTTCTGTAGAAACTCTAATTCCAGGGGCCTGAGATCGGGGGGTTGGGGGGTTCTGCAGGGACTCCATGGGGACCAATGTCCTACTCTCAGGCTCCCACCCCTGGCTCAGGAGGTGACAGCTAAGAAATTAGCAAGCCTGAAATGGGAGCCCTGGAGCCCCCACTTCCTGGCAGAGCCCCCTCTCTGTGCCTCCATTTCATCTTTACACAGTTGTCATCACGGTACCAGCTTCCCGCGGCTGTGGAGGAGAGTCAACGAGCTAATGCAGGTGAACAGCTGGGGCGAGGCCTGTGGGGCAGGCACCAGGAGCTGGTGGGAGGAGGAACGAGGCGTCACCCCTCAGAGCCCTGGAAGGGAGCCAAGAGGAGTGTGTGCACCAGGGGCGGAGGGGTCTGCAATTTAAGCTGGGGTCCGTCACTCAATGGCTAGGACAAGCTGTTCCATTTCCCCAAGCCTCAGTGCATTCATCTGTAAATTGGGCTTGGCCATGCCTACTTTCCATGAATGCTGACTGTGGTCATAGACATAGAGGGTCTAGTAAGTCCTCAGTAAACAAAACCAAACCAGTTGCTGCTGAGTCGATTCCAGCTCATGGTGACACCACGCGTGTCAGAGTAGAACTGCGTTCCTGAGAGTATTCAAGGCTGTGACCTTTTGGAAGCGGATCGCCGGGCCTTTCTTCTGAGGTGCGTCTGGGTGGATTTGAACCTCCAACCTTGGTTAGCAGTTGAGCGCTTAACTGTTTGCACCACCCAGGGACCCCCTCAATAAATAGTAGCTCTAATAAAAAATAGAGAGAGAGAGAGAGAGAGTTGATTCAGATGGAGCAAGAGATCTGAGTCTCAAACTTGCAGCCCAGGCTGGGCCCGAGTGGTGCTCGGTCCTCTCCAAAAAGACCCTGCTCTCCTGGGAGACCCTGCGCACTCAGGGAAGTGGCTCCCAGCCATCAGATCTCGGTGTTCCCCTGGAGGAGGAGGGCCGTACTAGTCACAGCACCCAACAGGCCCTGTTGTTCATGAAGAAAAGGCCTTGGAAAGAGGAAGGGTCTTGTCTAAGGTCACCAGGCTGGCTGCCTAGGTGGGAGGACGTGAGGCCAAAACTGCCCTCCTACACCCTAGCCTGCTGCCTCTGGGATCCAAAGGAGCAGGAAACTCCCCTGCTTAAGCAGCTCCTCTGTGCAAGCCTTTATCTATCAGCTCAGTGTTTATCTGCAAGGAATGGGCCCTCCCCACCCCTCTCCACCCGTGTCTTCCCCTGCCCTCCCTTACCCCCCTCCTCCACTCTCCAAGCTCCTGGTTAGTTGAGCTGAGCTGTTTCTTCAGAAGCATCCTGGTAAACGGGGTTACGCTGACGGTTCTGACACTTTGTAGGAGGGACCAGACTGTGCTGGAAGACACTAGTTTGGAGGACATAGATTAAACCACCCACGCAGGCTCGTCCTCTAAAACATCTCTACAAAGGCCACTCTCCTGTGGGACCAGAGGGAGTGTCAGGACGGGAAGCCCAGACTGTGTTTCTTACTTATCTGCAGATGAGCGGCTATCAGTGGTGGTGACTAGCGCAGGAAACACCAAATCAGGAGGCTCTGACCCCTAGGAAGCCACATGGGGTGCTGGTTAGGAGCTTGGGCTTTGGGGGTAGAGCTGGGTTAGCAAGTGACCCAGCCTGTCTGAACCTCTGATCGGTGTTCTGAGTTGTCCTCTAGTTGGCTCCAACTCATGGTGACCCCATGCACAACAGAAAAAAAAAGTGCTGCCTGGTGCTGTGCTGTATCAGACAATATTCTGTTGTGATCTATAGGGTTTGCATTGGCTAATTTTCAAAAGTAGATTGCCAGACCTTTCTTCCTAGTCTGTCTTGGTCTGGATGTTCCACTGATACCTGTCCACCATGGGTGACCCTGCTGGTGTTCAAAATACTAATGGCATAGCTTCCAGCATCACAGCAACATGCAAGCCACCACAGTACGACAAACTGACAGACGGGTGGCGGGAACCTCAGATTGCCCATCTATAAAATGGAGCCAGTAACAGAACTAGGCATACGGCTGCTGTACTGGGTTTCTGCGTAACCAGACATTCTGCAAACAAAGTTCTACGTGAACCGCATCCTCTGAGGTCAGAGTGCAGTTTGGAGGCCAGCGCAGTGAGCGTGACCTGTCTGACACTCAGCTTCACTCAGACAAACACAGGACTGCAGCCCAGGGTCTCCTGACCCCCAAGTCCGTCTGTGCTCCCGCCAGCGGGGCCCCTCTGCAAGCCATTTCCAGTGCCGCAGTTTGGGACCCTTTGCGTTTGGTTTGGCTTTGATGACGTGCACCTTGCCGCAGGCTGCCCCACTCACCCTGGGTCTAGGGGACTTGACAACATGGTGGCCGTGTGGGGAGAGTACCCAGCAGGGGGGCTCATGCCCAGGACCGTACACACACTGTCATCAGGGATCATCGGCTGCACGGAACTTGGAGGTTTGTGCTGTACCCCGAGATGACGTGGGGGTCCTGCACCCCACGGGGCCAGATGTTGAGGGCTCTGCCCATCTCTGGCTCCTCCTCCAGTGGAAGTCCCAGTACTGGCCACTCTAGATCACTTCCTCCCAGAAAGGATGGCTTTGTGGGATCCATTTATCTTCATCTCTTAGAACTGCCACAAACTGAGTGGGCTGTAAGAAGAGAAATTTGTTGCCTCACAGTTCTAGAGACTAGGAGTCTGAGGTCAGGACGGCAGCCATGTTGATTCCTTCTGTTCCACGCCTCTCTCCCGGCTCCTGGCAGTCCCAAGCATTCGTTGACTTGCAGCTACCACGTCACCTGGTGTCCTGCCATTGTCTCCCTGTCTCTGTGTCTCCTCTCCTCTTTTACAAGGACCACACTCATACTGAATTAAGACCCACCCTACCCAGCATGCCCTCAGGTTAACCTAACTGATACCATCTGCAAGGACCTATTTCCAAGCATGATGGCATTCACCGTACAGGGATGTCTTAGTCACCTGGGACCACCATAACAAAATACCACAAAGTGGGTAGCTTTAAAGAACAGAAATTTATTTTCTCACAGTTCTGGAGGCTTAAAGTCCAAATCAGGGTCTCGGCTTTGTTGGTCCCTTCTGCTAGCCTCTCTGCTGATTTCTGGCATCTGCCCGCAGTCTCGGCCTCTGTCCTCACAGGCATCTGTCCGTCTACCTGTCTCCCTGATTGTCCTCCACTTTATACAACACCACTCAGAAGGGATTTGGTTGAGGACCCATCCTACACTGGCCTGATCTCATTAACATCACAAAAGAAACCCCTTATTTCCAGTGGTTAAGAGCTATGGCTGCTAACCAAAAGGCCGGCAGTTTGAATCCACCAGCTGCTCTTTGGAAACCCTACGGGGCAGTTCTCCTCTGCCCTATAGGGTCGCTATGAGTCAGAATTGACTGGATGGCAATAAGTTTTTTTGTTTTTTATTTCCAAACAGGGTCACATTCACAGGTATGGGGTTAGAACGTCAACCTATTCTGGGCGGACCAATTCAATCCATTACACCATTGCTGGGAGGAGGCTTGGTGGGAAAGGCTGGAGGAACAGGGCTGTCTAAGGAGGGGGAGAGGAGGGCCTGGCACACACTGGATGCTCCATGCATACTTGTTGAACGAATGAAGGAGGACAAAGCCAGCAGTGCTGAAGGCCCTGATGTGGGGAGGCACAGAATTGGCTGGAGCTCATAGAAGGCTCCAGAGGCCTTGTCACATGCTGGACACAGGGACTGACGTGAAGGTGGCGGTTGTGGCGGTTAGCTGCCGTCGAGTCGTCCTCCGACTCATGGCAACCCCGTGCACAACAGAATGAAACACTGCCCAGTCCTGCACCGTCTCCACAATGGGTTATAGATCAGAACATCATGATTCATAGGCTTTCACTGGCTGATTTCCAGACGTAGATTGCCAGGACTTTCTTCCTGGTCTGTTTTAGCCTGGAAGCTCTGCTGAAATCTGCTCAGCATCAGAGCAACATGCCAGCCTTCACTGAGAGATGAGTGGTGGCTGCACGTGCATTGGCCAGGTGTGGTTTCTTTGGCAGAGTGGTCAGGAGGGATTCGTCTCAAAATCGCATCCCCTCTGCGGAAGGAGAGAACTCTACCACTGAACCACCTGTGTCCCCAAGGTGAAGGTTAGAGGCCAGGTATGGAGAGAGGCTTCCGATTCCCTGGTAAGCGCAGAGATGCTGGCAAAGCAGAGCACAGGAAAACCCTCCGCCCCTACACGGTCCCCCCACCCCCCATGCACACGTACCTGGATGAGGATAACAAGGAGGATTCTGGCCCTGCTGGCCAGTTCCTGCAACAGGCCTGTATCTCCTCTGCCTCTTCCTTCCCCTCCCCACCATTAGGTGTCCACATCCCCGAGTCTGGGTCCTCTGCCTACCTTAAGCCTTACTCTCACCTAACGGGCATCACCATCTCTGATGATGCGTGGCCCAAACCCACATGCTGGGCTGTGGCACCCTCAGAAATGGCAGTCTTGCACACCCGGTGATCTTCTCTTTTCCAGCCCCCAGCTCAGGGAAGCGGTGCTGGGCCCATGCCTTCTCTGAGAACGTTTTCTTCCTTCCAGAACAAGGGGCAGCCACAATGCAGCTCTTCTTCTTGTGCCTGATGCTTCTCAGTCCTTGGGTGGCCGCCCTCGGCCGCTACCACTCCCGTGAGTGGAGGAAGAGCACCAAGGAGCTCCCTGGAGCTGCCAAAGGGGCTGCTAGGAGCAGAGACTTTGCCTTCGACCTCTACAGGGCCTTGGCTTCAGCTGACCCTGGCCAGAACATCTTCTTCTCCCCGCTAAGCATCTCCATATCCCTGGCCATGCTCTCCTTGGGGGCTCGGTCCCACACGAAGACGCAGATCCTTGAGGGCCTGGGCCTCAGCCTCCAGGAAACCCCCGAGGAAGAGCTCCACAAATCCTTCCAGCAGCTTCTGCAGGAACTCTGCCGGCCCAGGGACGGCCTCCAGCTGAGCCTCGGCAACGCCCTGTTCACGCACCCGAAGCTGAGCATTCAGGATGCCTTTGTGAGCACCATGAAGATGCTGTACCTGGCAGACAGTTTCCCCAGCAACTTTGGAGACCCTGTGGGGGCCAAGAAGCAGATCAACGATTACGTGGCAAAGCAAACGAAGGGCAAGATTGTGGAGTTGGTTAAGGACCTCGATAGTGACTCAGTCATGGTCATGGTGAATTACATTTTCTTTAAAGGTAAGACCCTGATTCAGAACATGCCCTTTATCTCTCAAAAGAATACCCAACCCCTTGCACATAAAGAAATGGGAGTGGAGCTACTTCTTCCTAGTGCCTTTGATAGAGCAAAGCCAACGGGAGCCATGGATAAGATGGTACTTTCTCACAGTGTAAAATCTTGTTGCCATCGGCTCCACTCACGGTAGCCCTGTGGTTTTCAATGGCTGGTTTTTCCAGCAGTAGATCGCCAGGCCTTTCTTCCCAGGCACCTCTGGGTGGACTCAAACCTCCAACCTTTTGGTTAGCAGCCAAGTGCATTAGCCATTTGCGCCACTCAAGGCCTCCTCCCAATGTGGGAGGCAGAAAGTCTTAATGAACTTAGAGCTGTGTCCTCCACCCAGGAGGAGCCCCTGGGATACCCGAAGCCACTGCTTCCACACAGGTTTCAAAATGAGTCCTCCTGGCCACCGTGCCGGCAAAGCCACACCACAGCTAACTAGGGCAGAGCTGTGGACCTGAGGAGGGTTCAGGGGGCACGTCGCAGCTCCTCCCCCGCATCCTTGCAGCCGTACCCTTCTGGGGGCCGTTTCCTCAGCTGAGGAATCCATAGCCAAGCGCCCGTTCCTCTGAACATCTTCTCCCCCCTCTCCCCGCCTTGGCAAGAGCTGACCTTTCCATCTTTATCCCCCTGGCATTCACGTGAGCATCCCCACTCATATCACCTCACACATCAGCTTCTCCTCCTGGATGCTGAACCCCAGTGCCCTGAATACAGCCTGGCTGAGGAAGGGAAGGGAAGGAAATAAGGGGTGGATAAAGAGGGGGAAGGGAGGCAAGGAAACGGAAGGGAGAGGAAGGGAAGAGAAAGGGAGAGAAGCAGGGAAGGGGAGGGGAGGGAAAGGAAAGGAGGGAAAAGAATGGAAGGGAAGGAAGGAAATAATTAAATGGCTAACTCCCCCTGCCCGTTGAGAAACTTGTCTGCAGTCATGGACGGTGAGTACCCAAGCTTGGATTCTAACTGCAACTTCTTGTCCCCTAGCTCAGGCCCTCCCCATTACACCAGGCTCAGAACAACTGTGAAAAATCTAAGTGGGCTACTGGGAAGGTCTACCCTTGAAATCCGCTATGGAGTTGGAAACAATCACTTGTAGCTCTTCCATCAAAAATACCCACAGGAAGGAGCCAGAGAAGGAAGCATAATGAGGACTTCCAATAGGAAATAGAATGCATTTCCAAGGACCTTACAAACCTCTCTCCCAAACTTAGATCAAAATCCAGTATTAGGAAAAGAGTGAAAAGCAGAAGATCTTATTTTTTACCCAAATAGCACTAGCTATATTTTTTTTTTGCTGACTGTGCAACCATTACCACATTATTTTCCTAGACGCGCTGTGCGCGTTATACATGTTGGTGGGTTATTTACGGGAAATATGGTAACTCATCCAGATGTGGTGAGCATTGTCAGCCATCCATATTTTTCTTTCTTCATCTGAGTACTTGCCCTTGAGCAGCATCAGGGGATCGAACATCACTAGCGGTGAAGGCCTCCAAAGCCATGAAAACCAACTTCCTGGTTTTGCAAATGTAAAGGAGGGACCCCTTCAAAAGTTGACGGGTGTCCCCCAAGTTAGAAAGGGACTTGCCTTTATATTCAAGGGGGTTCAGCCATCACTGCTACCAACAGGAATGCTCTAAAGACGATGATCTTTGTTGACTGTGTTTACTGTCTCCACTCTTTAATTTGCTGCTGATTCTTGCACAAAGTCCCCTTCAATTTTTCTTTTCCATCTAAATCTTTAGCTAAATGGGAGACGAGCTTCAGCAGCAAAAACGCCCAGGAGAAGGGCTTCCACGTGAGCCCCGAGACAGTGGTGCAGGTGCCCATGATGAATCACGAGGACCTCTACTACTACCTCCAGGACCGCACCCTCTCCTGCAAGGTGGTGGGTGTCCCCTACCAAGGCAATGCCACTGCTCTGTTTATCCTTCCCAACGTGGGCTCCATGGAGCAAGTGGAGAATGGACTGAATGAGAAAGTGCTGCAGAAGTGGCTGAAGATGTTCAGAAAGAGGTACTTTCCAACTGCACCTGGACCAACCTGACTGTAGACACCCCCAGGGAGACATGCTCTCCCAAGGCCACACAGCAGTGGTGGCAGGACTCCCTCATCCTGGGAGTAGCCTCCAAGTCTAGAGCCATCATGGGAAGTCCAGCCCAGGGCGTTGGCTCAGATGGAGGGATCAAGGATGGAAGCTGAGTTTTGTGGGGTGACGCTAGAGTAGACAGCGACCTCCTCTGAGGTAACTCTCAAGTCCATGTCTAGAGTGGAGTCAGCACCACCCTAGATGAGGCAGTGAGCAAGGTGCCAGGGGGAGCTTTAGGTAGCATAGGGTAGAGAGCAGGAATATGAGCTCAGGGAGATGATGTTCTAGAAGAATCTGAGAAAGGTCCTTTTCTCTTTTCAGGCAACTCCAGCTTTACCTTCCCAAGTTCTCCATCGCGGGCTCCTATCAGCTGGAGAAAGCCCTCCCCAAGCTAGGGATCCACGAAGTCTTCACCTCCCAAGCTGACCTGAGTGGCATCACCAACCATGCAAACATTCAGGTTTCTGAGGTGAGTCCTGAAGCTCCTGAGCAATTGCTTTGAGAGACCTTCTCTCTCTTGCTCTTCTCTTTTTCTGTCTGTCTCTCTCTTTCTCCCCGCTCCCTCTCCGCTTTTTTCTTAAGAAATAAGCATAAATTTCACTTTGTGTCTTATCTACATGCCGTGGGAAGCTATATCCAACCCCTGTGCCTTAGGGGAAGGAGTCCCGTATTAAGCAATCAAAACTAAGAATCCAGTGCTAGCTCCTTCACTTACTAGCTGTGTGACCTCCAACAAGTTACTTGACCTCTCTGAGCCTCCTTTCTCTCATCCGTAAAACTGGAGAGTCACCCTCGCTCCCAGAAACGTAGCGTGAGAATTCAATGAAACACACATGTGCAGTCTCTCCTGAGCACAGTGTCTGGTACCCAGCACCTGCTCAGGTGCTTAGCGTTCTGCCTGCTTTGTGGCCCAGTGGCATGGGATGCTTGGATGGTGGTGCCCAAAGGACATCGCCTGTGAGGACATTGCCCAGCCCCTGGTGGCTTGGTGATGCCTGTGTCTCCCCTGCAGATGGTGCACAAGGCCATGGTGGAGGTGGACGAGTCAGGAACTAAAGCTGCCGCAGCCACAGGGACGGTCATCATGTTCAGGTCGGCCCAGATGAGCACTCCCAGGATTGTGTTCAACAGGCCCTTCCTGATGCTCATTGTGGAGCACATCACCAAGGACATCCTCTTCCTTGGCAAAGTGACCCACCCCTCATATGGAGGATCCTTCTGAAACACCATGGGCTTCCATGATGGGAGATGGGGGAGTCCATCTCCCATCTGTCTGCTGGTAGCTAGCAAAGTCCATGGGTTTAGTTGACTAAAGAGTCACAACAAATAATAACACTGATGTGCTGATGATTGCTTCTTTTCACACAGTCGCAAGACACGAGTGCCCTTGGAGAACCTTGGAGAATATCCAATCTTGCCCCCACCTTTCCATCAATGGAGAGTAGCGCTGAGGCCCAGAGAGGGTGGGTGACTTGCCCAGTGTCACAGAGCACATTAGTGGCAGACAGAGGCCCAGAGCCCAGACTCCTGATGCCCAAGTCACTGTCACATAGTAGGAAGGTTGTCCCATAGATGAAAGCCACCAGGAAGCATATCTCAAGCCTGGCCCCCTGTCCATCAACGATACCAGCTGTCAGTTCATCATGGATTGGAAAAAACATTCGAATGAGTATGAGGAAACAGGCCTCTGTCCCTGCTCTAGCCAGCTGTGTGACATTGGTAACACTGTCCTTCTCTGGACCTCTTCTCCCCAGGTATACAATGAAGGGTCAGGGCAAGGGGCCCTCCAAGGGTTCTTATGGCACCAAAACTAAGTGGACCCTTGAAATCATGTAGAAAGGCTGAGGTGTGCCCTGCCAATCATGGCTGATTTCAATGCACTCAAGCACCATTTGTTCTCTAAGAAATACAAGTGGGCAGCAAGACCGTGCCATCCCCAAGGTCAAGTACAATCTCACTGGCCGGGCTAGGGTCAGGGAGGGTGATCAGAGGCCTGTGGCAAATAATAGAGTGTCAACTGACAGCATTGATGACTAACTTGTTGGATTTTAGTGTCGGCAGTAACAATAAAGCATTTGCAAACCCAAGTGTCATTGTCCTCATGGAGGCAGCTCTGTGAATGGTGACATTAATAGCTTACAGTGCTCCAGACTTGGTGCCGGGGGCTTCCCCTGGATGGTCCCGTTTAGCACCAGTTGCCATTGAATCAGGGCCCCAGGTGGTGAAACTGTTTGCACTCAACTACTAACCTAAATGTTGGCGGTTCAAACCCACCCAGCGACACCAAGAAGAAAGGCTTGGCTGTCTGCTTCCATAAAGATTACAGCCAAGAAAACACTATGGAGCAGTTCTACTCTGTAACACATGGGGTTGCCATTGTTGGAGTTCACTCAACGGCGATAGGTATGGTTTTGGTTTGGCCACTGAATCAAATCTGACTCATGGTGACTCGATGTATGTCAGAGTAGGACTATGCTCCCTAGGGTTTTCAATGGATGATGTTTTGGACGTAGATTCCAGGCCTTTCTTCCAAGGCACTTCTGGGTAGACTCAATTTACTTCCACAATATCTCTATGAGGCGGGGACAATTCTTACCTGCATTTTATAGATGGAGAAGGCAAGGCTTGGTGAAGTTAGGCGGCTTGCCCAGGTGACACCGCTCATGAAAGATGGAGCAAGGATTTTGTCCTAGGGACAGGCTCCACAGCAACGCTCAGCCCTGTGACTGCTGGGAGGAGGGATGCTCAGGGGCCAGAGGCCCGGTGCAGACGCCATCTCACGACCAACTCCCCATGTGGTCCAAGGTCTCCTCAACTCCTTTATGAAGCCCATCCCATTTCCTCACCTATGAACAGAAGGTTATGGACACTTTAAAGAATCATCGAATGAATAAATGAAAGGATCTCTTGCTCAGTCTTAAATTGTCTCCTAATTAGTGCCCCCAAGCCTGAGCCCCTGAGCACCTGCCCCCTCCATCTTCCATGTTCCTAGCATGCTTTGCACGAGGCTGCCCCCAGAGCCTGGACTGCATCACAGATGGGGGCCCTTAGAACTAGCAAGGTCAAAAGCCCAAGCTCTGACCACCCCCCAAAGTACTGAGCACCTACTATACACCCGCCCCTTTTGGACACGTGGCCTTTGTGATCTTATTTTATCCATCAACAGCTCTGCAAGGTTTACCATCCGCACATGTGCAGGGGAGAGCACGCTTGCCTGGAGTCCCTCGCTGGGACAGTGAGGGTCCTGGGCAGACTCCAGATGGTCCACGTGCTGGCTGATTCTAAGGCAGATATTTACATGGAACTGAGATGGCTTTTCCACAGATGGCTTGTTTGCGTTTGTGTTTCAAGCTCAGGACAGCTCTTCAAGACCAGGTTTCCTCTTGCAAAATAAGAGGTCAGACCCACAACTGTGTGCCTTTCCCTTTTGTAATTCCCTGTTGGTCCTGGCAAATACACCTGCTACTGTTTTCCCAGCCAGTCCAAGGTCAGGGGGAGGCCCTGCATAGGTGACATGTATGAGGGCCTTCGAGGCGATTCTGCCTCATGGTGACCCCATGTGTGTCAGAGTGAAACTACGCCGCTAGGGTTTTCCATGGCTGTAATCTTATGAAAGTAGATCTCCAGGCCTTTCTTCTGTGGTGCTGCTGGGTGGATTCAAACCACCATCCTTTCTTTCTTTTCTTTTTAATTTTATTTTATTATACTTTAAGTGAAGGTTTACAATTCAGGTTAGTCTCTCATACGAAAATTTATACATACGTTGTTATGTGACCCTAGTTGCTCTCCCTATCCTGTGACAGCACACTCCTCCTTTCCTCCCCGGATTTCCCGTGTCCGTTCAACCAGCTCCTGACCCTCTCTGCCTCATCCTCTCAGTTAGTAGCCATGGACAAACCGTTTGCACCACCCAGGGACCTTGGCCAAGGTCCAGTGCTGTCTAACTCGCTCCACCAATTGTCACAAAGCAGCTGCTGCATGCCGGGACCTGGGGTGGCTCCCAGTGGGGCTGCCTTTATTGAGCTTCTACTGTGTGCTATCATCTGCTAACTGAAAGGTTAGAGGTTCGAGTCTAGCCAGTGGCACCTCAGAAGAAAGGCCTGCTGATCTACTTCTGAAAAAATCAGCCATTGCAAAACCAGACCCTATGGAGCACATGACACAGATGGGGTCGCCATGAGTCGGAGTCAAATGGACAGTAACTGGTTACTGTGTGCCCAGCGTGGAAGCACTGTGCTGGGTGTCATTGAACTGGGTTGTTTCTGGGTGGACAAAATGCTATAGCGACTCAGAGAGAGAAAGAGAATTATCTTTGAGGAGTCAGGAAAGGTTTCATGGAAAAGGTGACACTTGGCCTGGTCTTGAAGAATGAGTAGGTGTCTTGATGCCCTAGGATGATGTAACAAAATACCACAAACTGGGTGGCTTCTAAGAACATGAGTTTATTGTCTCACAGTTCTGGAGGTTAGAAGTCTGGAATCAGGGTGTCAGCCTTGTTGAGTCTCAGAAGAGAACTCTGGGAGGGGAACTGATCCATGCCTTTCTCCTAGCTTCTGGTGGCTCCCAGCAATCCTTGGTGTTCCTTGGCTTCTAGTGGCATCTGCCACCATAGTCACACAGCCATCTTCCTCTGTCTCTGTGTATCTTCTCCTTTTGAAGGACTCCAGTCATACAGCATTAGGACCCAGCCTACTCCACTAAGTCTTCATGTTAACCTAACTGATAACATCTTCAAAGGCCGTATTTCCAGTCAAGGGTGACATTCACAGGTACCGGGAATTAGGATTTCAACATATCTTTTTGGGGACACATTTCAACCCATAACAGTAGGATCTGAACAGAGAGCAAAGAGCATTTGGGAACAGATAAGGGACTTAAAAAACTTCGACAAAGTATGATGTTGAGCAAGCTGTGGTGTGTACAGGCAATCAAGGAGATCTCGGTCTGGACTGGGTATAGGGAATGAGAAGGAGGGCAAGGAGAAATGAGCTGATGGTGACTGGCAGTTCAGTGACAGGGGGCCTGAACATGAGCCTAATGTTTTGTCTGTTCTCTCTCACCCTGATTTCAACGTAGTTTGGTCACCCAAGCCACATCCTGAGTGTCCCCCTGGACACCTTCCTGTCCCCCACTCTCCCATCTGAAGACCAGTAGACACCTCCGTTCAACCCTCTAGGGGTCCCTCACATCCATTCACACTTTCTTCTCCAATGCCCCCACACACCCCTTTCTCGGCTTGACCCTCATCACCCACCCCTTCCTTGGATTGACCCTCATTCACATCTTGCTCTGAGTAGTCACTGGTTGAAATCAGGTAATAGGTCTGTAGGATGAACATATAGGTGTTCCCTTAGGCCCTGCTTTCTTAGCACCGCCTCCCTCCGAGTTCCTTCAGCTCTTGCTAAGTTCCTTCTTGTTCTTAAGAAGCCCACTTTCCTTTCCCTCTCTGGCCTCATGGACTACCAGGACCTCTCCTTGTAAACTCCATTGCAACCAGAAAGCAGAAAAACAATGCTAGGGCCCAGGACTCCTTCTTTATCTCTCCTTCCAGAGGTTGAAACTAGGAAGAGAGACCTTTGTCTTCAGGGGAAACTCTGGATGCCCCAGCGAACAGCCACACTCAACCAACAACAGACCTCTTGGGCTTATTTAGCTTGTTCATTCAGTGGCTGTTCATGAGTTGCCTACTAGAAATCAGGCACAGAGAGTACTGGGGTCTAATGATGAGCCCAGCAGACACAAGCCCTGGCAAGAACTAGGCAAACAAACTGTGATGATGGCAAATCATTTTGTCTGCAGGTATTCATTGAGTGCCCACTGCATTTCTACAATGGTCTAGATGCTGGAAATAATGAAGAAAGCTACAAAAATCTCTGCCTTGATGAAGCTTAGATTCCAGTTTGGAGAGACATTAAAATGAAAAGTAATAAAGAATAAGATAGAAAAGTAAAATGCATAGCATGTTACTCAATGGTAAGTACTTTGGCCTGTGAGCTCAACTTAGTCCCTCTCTTCTAATGAACAGAGTGTGGAAATAGTAACCTTACCTTGGAGAAAGCTGGCAAACACTGCCTTGCGCAAGCGGTCACTAACATTGCCAGTCACGAGTCATGTTGATAGCATGCTGATATTACCTCTGTGGTATTCTCTTCAAAATCTGTAACTTCAGTCTAATCAAGAGAAAACATCAGACAAACCCAAACTGAGGGACATTCTACAATA